CAGAGCCAGGCTGTAAAGCAGCCAAGGTATTTGGATGGCTGGCCCAAGCGATGCATTCTACTACGTGCTCATGATCACGGAGCACAGCACGACACTCACGCGTCTCCACAACCCAGATTCGCACAGTCTGATCGTTTGAGCAGCTTGCTAGCAAATATCCGTCCGGACTAGGGGCAACGGAGCGAATCCATTCAGAGTGTCCAATGAATGTCTTTACACAATACCTGCAGATGTACAAAGAAAATTATAAATTCGGAAGGGTAATTAGCTCGTTTTAATAATTGAATATAGTCACGTTTAAAAATAATCACCTTCAAATAAATTATAAAAATCGATAAACTAATTTTTCTAAGGTATGAAGACCAAGATGGTGTGGCCTTTTGTGTGGTCGCAGTCTCCATTCGTTGTATAGAGGTTGTTTGACCTTGTTTTCGCAACATGGTCATATTGGTAGGAAGACTCATTGGAACCACCTAGTCCGGGGGCCATTGTCTGCATGATCATTTCCAAAGTTGAACCGTGGACGTGGAACATTCCCAAACGTTTCGCCGGCATCAGTGAGTATCGCCATTCTAAGCACCCCACAGCTACTCGTCAAAGAGACACTTGTCTCTTTGGAAATGATCATGCAGACAATGGACCCCGGACTAGGTGCGTTCCAATGAGTCTTCCTACCAATATGACCATGTTGCGAAAACAAGATCAAACAACATTTAATTTTTCTAAGGTTGAAAGTAGTATCAGCCATGAATGATAAAATTGTAGAAATCTACGAATACAAATTATGCAAAATAAATTCATGTCTTAATTCTGTAAGAATTTATCTCCCCCACAGATAACCATAAAGAAATAGAATAAAAATTAACTCGATACAGAGAAAGTATATCATATTCAAAAAAATCTATAAATGTATTATTATGCAGAAGCACTTAGTAGAAGCTGGGATGACAGACAATTAAATTTAGTCATTTCATGCAAGAAAAATAATTTTAGAATTTGTTTGACCCTGTATTTTCAACTTGGTCATATTCGTAGGAAGACTTAGAGGAAATCATCTAGTCCGGAGTCCACTGTATGCATGATAATTTCCTCATGATGCGTTCCTCTGAGTCTTCCTATTAATATGACCAAGTTGCGAAAACAAGGTAAAACAAAATCTATAAGGCTAACGTAGTACACCAGTAACAATAGTTGGTAAGGGAAGGTGAATTTTAAAATTTCACATAATCTAGGCGGCCCCAAACACGCGAGAGGCTAATAAAGAAAGATAAGAAAAATATGAAATAATTACTTGAACTAAACGTGAAAGGAGAGAAGTTATGCATAAAATATAATGAGTTTTTCAAATGAAAATAAGTGGGAACTCTGGGCCAAGTAACTTTTTAGTTCCTCTATTGTCATGCACGACAAAATTGAGACGTTTTCGTCAAGAATAAAG